ATTTTACATATTATCTTAATTCTCATCATTGTTTCTGGTGATTTACTACATTTTTATGCACTAAACAAATTCCCTTCATCAAATTCATGAGAACCCTAAGTTTTTTGAACCCCTTGAATTGCTTTTCCATCTCCATGTGGATACGACACCCCAAAACTACACCACAACAACGCGTAAAACTTTGGGTGTAATCAGCAATTATGTTATTATTTAAATTTAGTCTCCGATTATTTCAAGTATTCCTTTGCTGAATGATACTAGTATCAACTAGAAATGCAACTAATATTTCTAAGGGTTAAATTTATTAAATTTCATTGATGGGGTTGGTGAGCACTTTTAAAATAAATGGAGTAAGCCATTGAAAAAGAAAAAGAAAAAAAAGCTTGGATAAGGTGAGCGATAGGAGTTGGAGCATTTAGATTTGATAAGAACGTAATGCGACTTTATGCCTAATAACTTTATTGTTGAAATTAGATAGTGTGCATCCTTTGAAGCTTTGAGTGTGACTTGGGAAACAAATTCCAAGGTCCAACATCAGATTTGCTATAGACATCAAATATTGGAGCTTTCGGTCAAGCATAATTCATTGAATTAAGAAAATAAACATTGACATATTGGGGGTCAATTTCTTAATTCTAAAAAGTTGAGGGATAATTCTTTAAACTTTTGGTCCTTGTGGCATTATTTTATCAACCGTGCTATATGTACAGTCTTAGTGACAGAAGGTTTTTTTTTTTTTTTTACAGAACACACGGCGGCATTTGATTCGAAGTTGCACAAGAAAAAAAAAAAACAAACCATACGGCAGCGCCTGTAAAAGATTTGTAAACAATTCCCTTGTACAAGAGGAATTGTTCTTATTTTATGACATTCCTAATTGCTAGAAAACGTTTCTTGTACATAACTATTTATATAATGTTTTACATAATGATAAAGTGTCTAAATATAAGTGAAAGATTTTGATCCAATTAAATTTCGTCACAATTATGTAACTATAACACAACCGTTGATTGCTTTCGACGTAGAAAATGGCAAGGGTAGAAAGGTGGGTAGGGTGCGTATGGGTAGGTTAGCTTCATGAATTATTTGTTTTTGGTAAAGCAAATGCAAGCTTAATTATTCATATTTTAATTTTACCCGCACACCCCCAATTGACATCACCTCCTCCACGGCCAATATCCTCTTAAATTTCCAATCACCATGTTTGCACCCCACTGCGCATATTAGCTGTCCCCACAATCATTATGTGCAAACAATGCATTTATCCCACTCACAGCGCCGGCAGTGTATAATCCTGGTGAAACAACAAAAACTCCGATCCAAGTTCGAATCAAAATCCGAACCACCCAATACTGAAACTAAAGCAAAAACTGAGCTAGGGTTTGACAAGATTGTTAATATTGTGACTTGTGAGCTGTAAACTAGTGAACGAAATGTAGGAAGATTGAAGAAAGTGAAAGTTGATCGCATCTGCACAATAATTGGTCCAAAAACTCAAAAAAAAAAAAACCACCAAAAAAATTTAGGATATTGCAATTTGATTAAATTATTTGTACATGCAAAGTGTACACCTTGACACCCCCTTATATGTCACAAATTTGGTAGTTCATTGGAGAAATATGTTGTCAAAATCAATGTGTCAAAATCTGTCAACTCACAACCATTTTTGATTTGTTTCTATTGAAATTAAAACGAAGAACGAGCTTGGAGAAAATATTTCT